CAGCCACTCACTGTTATGTGTCTTGACTCAATCACTTCGTCTAGGTCTGGGGCATCGCTTGGGGATATTATTAATAAAACGTGTGGAGCATGTTAAATGACCCATGAATGGAAAAAAAAAACACCCATTAAAGTCGCCCTTAAAATGTTTACTTATGGTAGCATTTATTTCCTCTCATATCTATCCTGCTGGAAGATGGAAAAGGTTGGCGTCATGTGCTTCTTCTTTTCGCTCTCCCAAGTCATATCCTGGTAGAGATTGGTTATTAACTGTTCCAGTTTTTAATGGTTGGAGAATTTCTGCCCGTCTCCTCACTCCCAGTCTCTCGTGAAACCTTTCCTGGAGCCTTGTGTTTCAGAAGGTTTCAGTGTCCCTTTCTCTGCCTTTTCTCTCTCATTAGCCCACTGAATTCTTCCAGTCCCTTGGTGGGAATGGAGAAAGGAAGCTTCGGATTGAGATGAACCATGGCACTACCACTTTGGCCTTCAAATTCCAGCAAGGAGTGATTGTGGCAGTGGATTCTCGGGCTACCGCTGGAAATTATATTAGTGAGTGTGTGTGTGTGTGTGTGTGTGTGCGCGCGCGCGCGCGCGCCAGCAGGCAGAATCTGGGGAGCTGGGCCCCTCTCTCAGCAGGAGCCTCACATCTGAATCAAAGCAGAAACAGATATTGATTTCGGACACACTGGGAGAGCTGTGGGGTCAATCCAACTCTCTCAAAGCTCCGTCTTCTTCCAGGCACCTCAAGGGTTAACAAGGTGACTGAGATTAACCCTTACCTGCTTGGCACCATGTCTGGCTGTGCTGCAGACTGTCAGTACTGGGAGCGTCTCCTGGCCAAGGAGTGCAGGTAGGCCAGGCCTCCTATCTCCCTCCTGAGCCCTGTGGTCAGTCGTGGATCCTGGAACCTCCAGATCACTGTTCCTCCTCCTTTCCCCCTGGGCCAATGTAGCATCTTGGTGCTAATGCAGTATTTCACAAAACAGCCTTTTGGTGATTAGAAAACCTTCTCCCAAATCTCAGCCTGTGCTCTTGCCAATAAGCCAGGTAAGTTGTCAGTTATTTAGCACTGACGTCATCAACCCTGGTGGGATGGTGTCATTTGCAAGGATTTCTTATATGATTTGGATACTTTAAATTCCAAATCTTTCCCTGATCCTTAGATCCTACAAAAGCATTCTTCTCAAAGGCTTATCTCTTTAATTATTTCCTGCACATTGAGTGGGCCGCTCCGAGAGCTAGCCTTCTCCTTCCACCTCTGAGTCCGCTGCCCCACCACCCTGTTGTACCCAGGCTGTACTATCTGAGGAACGGGGAGCGAATCTCAGTGTCAGCAGCCTCCAAACTGCTCTCCAACATGGTGTTCCAGTATCGAGGCATGGACCTCTCCATGGGCAGTATGATCTGTGGCTGGGATAAGAAGGTGGGTGCTCTCCATTCTCCCTATTCCCCCACGACGGATAAGAGACCGGGTTCCTCATCGTACACTCCCACGCCCTCCCCTATAAGATGTGTGGCACATAGAACACTGGGTTATAGAGCCGTTCCAGCATATCCATGGACTATTATTTCTGGGTCTAGATGTGGACCATTATTTTGTAAGCTTGTTCCTTTGGATAAAATAGCTGATTCCCACTTTTTCCCCCTAAAGGTCTATGATTGTTACTAAAATGTTGTCCTGGTTCAAATGTTCCCGCGTAATTCTTATTCTTTTATCCACTTTTTATGGCTCACACTTGAACCTGTATGTTACTGAAAACTCCCTCTGGGAAACTTCTTGCTTCCTATAGGGTCCTGGACTCTACTATGTGAATGGAAATGGGACTCGGCTCTCAGGAAATATGTTCTCCACTGGCAGTGGGAATACCTATGCCTATGGGGTCATGGATAGTGGCTATCGGCCTGATCTTAGCCCTGAAGAGGCCTATGAACTGGGCCGCAGGGCTATTGTTTATGCCACCCACCGAGACAGCTATTCTGGAGGTGTTGTCAACAGTAAGAGACCAATGCTACCACACCCCTGGGTGGGGAAGGGGCATCCGAGATTGGGAGAGTTAGAGGAGACAAAGTGGTAGGGAGGAGGTTTCCTTTCTTTCTCTTTCTTTCTTTCTTTCTTTCTTTCTTTCTTTCTTTCTTTCTTTCTTTCTTCTTTCTTTCTTTCTCTCTCTCTTTCTTTCAGATTTATTTATTTATTTGAGAGAGAGAGAGAGAGAGAAGGCATGCGAGTGTGGGGAGAGGCAGAGGGAGAGAAACGTCAAGCAGACTCCATGCTGAGTGTGGAGCCTGATGCGGGCTCGATCTCATGACCCTGAGATCTTGAAGTGAGCCAAAACCAAGAGTCAGAGGCTTAACTGACTGAGCTGCCCAGGCATGGGGAAGAGATTTCAGCATCCAAAGGGGGGCACTGAAGTTGTAGTAAACAAGTATGTGTTGAGCGTATGTTTGGGAGTATGTTATTGTCACCTTTCCACATAACACCATTAACAGGAACTTGCTGGAGTGAAAGGTGACTCCCTGTTCATTCTCATTTGCCCACAGTGTACCACATGAAGGAAGATGGTTGGGTGAAAGTGGAAAGTACAGACGTCAGTGACCTGCTGCTCCAGTACCGGGAGACCAGTCAGTAACTGCGGTGACTAGGCACGCCTTTTCTGGCAGAGCCTGACCAACTCATGAACCTGGGCTAGCTTACACCCCACAGGAAAGGGGAGCCTTAAGCTGAGCCCTGAGGGGGAGAACCAGTGGCCAGTGGGGTAGGGTGGAGTTTACCCTTTTGCGTGTTCTCTGTTTCAAGGAGCATTCCCCCTACCCCAACCTCTGGGTGCCCCACTAAGCACAATAAAGGAAAATGGTTATAAATGCCTCTGTGTTGTGGCTGAGTGGGCTTGGGGCTGGGGTTGTTGTGGGGAGGGGGCAGGAAATAGAGACGCTTTCCCTGAGAACAGACCCGAACCCCAACCTAAAAAATGGGGCCTCACCAAATATTTCTGTTGGGTTTTCCTTCCACATTCATCTCTCCATGCCCTCAGGAAGGCTGGTCAAGGTCTGTGGACACATATTTGCCATTTAATTTAGATTAGGGTCCTTTTTATAGGGACACAACCTGAAGACTCCTGTGTGGTTCATTGTTAATGGTGTGGGTGTCTGGGAGTAGGGTACTAGAACAACTGTTTTTGACATTGAGGAGTCAGATGAAAAAGCTTCCACCTCATGTGTATATGGTGATTGGAAACATGGTACATTTACCTCAAATAACACTTTGGAGATACTGGATATTGAATGCAAAGATGGACATTAGGGGTTCAATTTCATGATGTGTCATGCTCAATTGCAAGATGACAGGACCATGATTGAAGAGGAAGAGGACTCCCTCCTTGAAGAGGGAAATATGAGGAAAAAGTAAGCAGGTTAGGAAAATGAGACAGACATAATGAGATTTTCTGAATCATGCAAGAAGCATGGATGATGTCCCCTCTTAGGGAGAGTTAGTCAAAGAAAAAACTTGAAAGTAGTTAGCAGCTGAACAGGGAGCTTTTTTTTCCATTAGGGAGAGATTCTTAAAATCTCAGAATGGCAGGGTTGGAGAAATTTTAATAATCCTCTACTTCAAATACACCACCCACCCTTTAAACCAGAAGTGCCTCATTGGTAAACATGCCAGTAACATTTCAAAGGGGTGGTTTGGAATCCAAGTGATCCTTCCTTTGGGGGTATTTTGAGTTGGGGGGATAGTTTCAATCTGAAGAGTTATTTCTGGAATAAACAAACCAGCATGTTCCATAGATGGGCTCTGGGTCAGGCAGGACCTGTAGAATCCTGTCTACTGCTTAATCAATGTTAAAATAGACCAGGAAACAAAGTCCATCCTCCTCATATACCAGAGATGCTCCCAAGACATAATCCGAAACACACACCTAGAGGCACCCGAACATGAGCTCTGCTCAAGGAGCTGTGTTGAGGATGAATGTAAAGAATCAGGGCCTTTCAGCTCAAAATCTCTGTAAGTGGAAACCCACTTAGGCCCTGGTGAAAGTGTCTGGGACCTCCAATTTAGGAGAGGTCCTGAGTGTTTCTCGCTCAGAATCTGGCTCTGTTTTGATCCCAGACCCTAAAACAGGAGCTTTGGATGGAGGAAGAGGCAGTTCTCAAAACAGGATCAGAGCTCGAGGCAAGAAAATCCAGTGGTTCTCCAATTACAAAACATCTCAATCCTTGAAATAGCTTTGTTTTAGTTAATGACAATTTAAAACACTTGCAGAAGTTTTCTGTTCCAGAGTAACAGTTGCTAACCGCGAAAGACTCACCGCGCGGCGGGGCGCGTGCGCGCCCGCCTCGGTCCCGGGCTTCCGCGGACGGCAGGTGTCGCGCGTCCCCGGCTGGTGGCCGCCCTGCCAGGAACCGGGGATCGGTCTGGGGAAGCGAAAGCGAAAGCGGCGGGCGCCGGGACGCCCCCGCTTGCAGAGTGCCTCCGGCAGATAGAAGGGGGGAAAGGAAGGTGAGCCAGCGCGAGCGGATCTCAGAGCTCGGTGCTCAGCAAGTAGCCGAAAGACCCTCCCCGGAGCTGCAGTCCCGAAGCCGCTGCGGGTGAGTTCGTACGGCCGGAAGCCTGGAGCGCTAACCGACGCATTCCAACCCGCCATCCACTCCGCGCCCCCCGCCTCCCGTCCCTCTGGCCTCCCGGGTAGTGCAAGGGAGCCGGGCGGGGACCGCAGGGCGGCTCCTCGGAACTCGGCGGCGGCGGGCGGGTGGGGGTGGGGCGTAAGGGGAGGGGGGTCACTTTTTTTTTTTTTTTAAAGGATGAGGCTCCCTCTGACAGGCAGAATGCCTTCTGTCAGAAGCGGGCCGTACTGATGGGCACCGGGGACCCAGGGGATCATTCAGGGTAGGGGTGGGTAAAATGAGAAGCCGATGGACGGGTTGAGCGGAGTCGGGGTGGTGAGCATAGGGTCGAGGATGGGGACCCTAGCTCTGTAATTCCTCATCTTCTACCCCTAGATAACACCATGCGGTTCCCTGACCTGAGACCCTGCGCCTTCCTGCTGCTGGCCGACTTGGCTCTACTCTGGCTGCTTCAGGGGACTCTGGGGGCTCTCCTTCCCCCGGGGCTTCCAGGCCTGTGGCTGGAGGGGACCCTGCGACTTGGAGGGCTCTGGTGGCTGCTAAAGGTGGGAGGACTGCTGGGATTGGTGGGAACACTGCTGCCCCCGCTCTGCCTGGGGACTCCGCTGTTTCTCTCCCTGAGGGCCCTGGTCCCAAGGGCCTTGGGTGCTCCCCCAGTCAGGGTGGCTTCAGCCCCCTGGAGCTGGCTGCTGGTGGGGTATGCGGCTGCGTGGCTAAGCTGGGCCATGTGGGCTCTGCTGAGCTCCCCAGACGCCCAGGAGAGGAAGCAGGGCCAGGAGAACAACACAGACTTGATGTGGAGGCTGCTGAAGCTCTCCTGGCCGGACTTGCCTTATCTTGTTGCAGCCTTCTGCTTCCTCATTGCTGCCGTGCTGGGTGAGTCAGGAGGAGGGCATTGGGAATTGGAGGTGGGCAAAGACCCTTGGTGCCAGCATGTTCATCTGTTCTCCTTCATGCCTCTTTCAGGTGAGACAGTCATCCCTTACTATTCGGGTCATGTCATTGACATCCTGAGAGGTGATTTTGACCCTGATGCCTTTGCCACCACCATCTTTTTCATGTGTCTCTTCTCCATTGGGAGGTAGGTGATGCTTGATGGGGTTCATTTGCTAGCCCTTCACCTTTACAGGGACCTAGCATTTCCTAACTCTCTTTTCAGATCCTTTAGTACACGAAGCATAAAATACTTCAACCAAAATATGTGTGAATTTGTTTATTCGCCATTCTATTTCACACACTCATCTGTTCATTCTTTCCTTCACCATACTTACCTGACGTTATGCTTCTAATCCATACTTGCTACTCTTTGCTGAAACCAGTTCCTCAGAAGTGACTCCCAGACCCATATTTCTACACCCAGCTCTAGTCTTGTAGTCCAGTTGTCTTCTTGACATTTCCGTTGGACAACCCACTGTCATCTTACACTCCACACGCCCAGAGCTTCAAATGTATTACACTCCCTCCTGGTCTTGTTGAAAGTGCCTCCCTCTTTTATTCCCATGTACGAAACAATCAGTTTCCTGGGCTCCAAGCATCAGTATTGTTGATGCCTTTCTGATGTTCGGACACTAGCCCCATCATTTTCTGCTTTCAAAGTATTTCTCCTGTGGTGCTTTTCTGGCCATTCTCACTGTGATCGCTGGAGCAAACTCTCCTCATTTTATGTCTGACTAGCCCAGCAACCTTCTAAACATAGAAACCATATTGTGTGAAATACTTGCTTCTATGTTTTCACATTTTTCCTTTAAGTTTAGTTGTATAAATGGTTGGCCTAAGAGGAATGCTCAACTCCAGGGACAATAGAGATGAGGGAACAGCATGTCTCCAGGGCTCCAGAGAAGGGGAGGCCAAGGGAATTCATTGCTGCAGTTCCCCCAGTAAAGTAGGAAGAAAGACTTTGGGGTGGGGAGGAAAGAGACCGAGACAGAGGGGGACAGTAGAGGGACAGCACTGCAGGAGGCCATGGGCTATTTCTCTGGACAACATCTCTTCATTTCTGTTATCGTCTTCCCTGTGTCTAGCACGGAGTGAGCTCCACAGATATTCGTGAATTTGTATGTGTTATGATTGTTCCCACGTCTAGCTCTCCCTGTCCTGTTTTTCTTCCCTCTGTTTATTCCTGCCCCTCCCCTTGTCTCCCTCTCTCTCTGCCTCTCATGGTACACTTTCCCCGGCCTTGTATTTCTTTTCATTCTGTGCTTTCTCCTCTGCTTCCTGCACTCATTTCCACCCATGTCTCCCTCATCCCCATTCCCTCCTCCCTCCACAGCTCCCTGTGTGCCGGCTGCCGGGGAAGCTGCTTCACCTTCACCATGTCCAGAATCAATGTGCGGGTCCGGCAGCTGCTTTTCTCCTCCCTTCTGCGCCAGGACCTCAGTTTCTTCCAGGATACTAAGACAGGTGGGGCCTGGAGTCCAGGTCTGGGATTCCCCTGGACATTTCTTGCCCCTCAATCACCTTCCGGGTACCCCGTAAACAGCCTCTCTTCCGCTCACTGTGCCAGGAGCTGCTGAAGAGCTGCTGAGTTCTCTTTTGGGATGGGACAGTGAGGTTGCCTCCCCCAGACTCTGCAAGTGGGGGGGGGCGGTGTTTAGAAGACGGGCTTGTGTCAATGGGGAGGGTTGGGGTCAGTCTCTGGGGGTTCTGCATTACGCATGGTTTCCTCACCAGCTCTGTTGTCCCCAGGGGAGCTGAATTCGAGGCTGAACTCCGATACCAAATTGATGAGCAACTGGCTTGCTCTTAATGCCAACGTGTTCTTGCGAAGCCTGGTCAAAGTGGTGGGGCTGTATAGCTTCATGCTCAGCCTGTCCCCGCGACTCGCCCTCCTCTCTCTGCTCAAGGTGCCTCTGGCAGTAACGGCTCAAAAAGTGTATGATGTCCGCCATCAGGTATGTGGGGATGTTAGGGAATCCCCAGGGCAGCAGAAAACTCTCCAGAGGTCTTCTCTTCTCAGCCTCAAAAGCAGCCGTTCTGACAGGCTTGAGAAGGGTGCTGACCCCTGGGATTTTATGTAAGTGTGTATGTGTATGTGTGTGTGTGTGTGTGTGTGTGTGTATGTGTGAGAGAGAGAGAAGAAGAGAGAGCATTTTTCTGGGAACAGGATAACTTCTTTTTTTCCCCCACAATTATAAGCCTCATTTTATTTTATTTCTTTTTATTATTATGTTATGTTAATCACCATATATTACATCAATAGTTTTTGATGTAGTGTTCCATGATTCATTGTTTGCGTACAACACCCAGTGCTCCATGCAGTACGTGCCCTCCCTAATACCCATCACCAGGCTAACCCATCCCCCCACCCCTCCCCTCTAGAACCCTCAGTTTGTTTTTCAGAGTCCATTGTCTCTCATGGTTCGTCTCCCCCTTCGAATCCCCCCCCTTCATTCTTCCCCTCCTGCTATCTTCTTCTTCTTCTTCTTCTTTTTTTTTTTTTTAACATATAATGTATTATTTGTTTCAGAGGTACAGGTCTGTGATTCAACAGTCTTACGCAATTCACAGCGCTCACCATAGCACATACCCTCCCCGACGTCTATCACCCAGCCGCCCCATCCCTCCCACCCCCCACCACTCCAGCAATCCTCAGTTTGTTTCCTGAGATTAAGAATTCCTCATATCAGTGAGGCCATATGATACATGTCTGTCTCTGATTGACTTATTTCGCTCAGCATAATACCCTCCAGTTCCATCCTCGTTGTTGCAAATGGCAAGATCTCATTCCTTTTGATGGCTGCATAATATTCCATTGTATATATACACCATAGCTTCTTTATCCATTCATCTGTCAATGGACATCTTGGCTCTTTCCACAGTTTGGCTATTGTGGACATTGCTGCTATAAACATCGGGGTGCACGTACCCCTTAGGATCCTTACATTTGTATCTTTGGGGTAAATACCCAGGAGTGCAATTGCTGGGGCATAGGGTAACTCTATTTTCAACTTTTTGAGGAACCCCCACACTGTTTTCCATAGGGGTTGCACCAGCTCGCATTCCCACCAACAGTGTAGGAGGTGGGAACAGGATAGCTTCTTACCAAATTCTCAAAGGGGTCTGTCCATACCTTCCCCACAAAAGATTAAAAATGCTGTCTTAGAGGATTTTTAGGTAGAGTTTTCCCCTGATTAGAAAGGAATTTGGATGGAGTGTAGAGAAAGTGGAAAGTGCAGTCAGGAAGTCCTGAGTCTGAATATCAGCTCCGCTTTCTCTCTTTTTAGAAAAATGGTGGTAAAGTATACATAACATTTGCAATGACATGGATGGAACTGGAGGGGATTATGCTAAGTGAAGTGAGTCAGTCAGAGAAAGACAATTATCATATGATTTCACTTACAGGTGAAATTTGAGAAACAAGACAGAGGATCATAGGGGCAGGGAGGGAAAAATGAAACAAGACGAAACCAGAGAAGGAGACAAACCATAAGAGACTCCTAATCTCAGGAGACAAACTGAGGGTTGCTGGAGTGGTGGGGGGTGGGAGTGATGGGGTGGCTGGGTGATGGACATTGGGGAGGGTATGTGCTATGGTGAGCGCTGTGAATTGTGTAAGACTGATGAATCACAGACCTGTACCCCTGAAACAAATAATATATCATATATTAATAAAAACAATTTATGTGGGAAAATAGAGATCCAAAGATAGCTATGGAAAAAAAAGTATACATAACATAAAATTTACCATTTTTACTATTTTTAATTGTGCCATGTCAGTGGCATTAAGTACGTACACACTGTTGTGCAAGGATCACCACCATCCATCTCCAGAACTTTCTTCATCTTCCCAAGCTGAAACTCGGTACCTATTAAATAATAACTGCCCACTTCCCCTACTCCCAGCCCCTGACAATGACCAGTCTATTGTCTGTCTCTATGAATTTGATAACTCTCGGTATCTCATGTAAGTGGGATCATCCAGTATTTATCTTTTTGTGATTGGCTTATTTCACTTAGCATAATGCCCTCAGGGTCCATCCATGTTGTTGCAAATGGCAGGATTTCCTTCTTTTTTTTTATGGCTGAGTAAAATTCCTCTGTATACATATAGGCACCACTTTTTAAAAAATAACAGCCATCCTAATTTTTGTGAGGTGATAGCTCACAAAATGGTTTTGATTTGCATTTCCCTAGTGACTAGTGGTGTTGAACATCTTTTCACGTGCTTGTTGGCCATTTTTATATCTTTTTTGGAAAAATGTCTAAGTTCTTTGCTCATTTTTTAAATTGCGTTGTGTTTTACTTATTGAATTGTAGGACTTCTTTCACTATTCTGGGTTTTAGCCCCTTATCAGATACATGATTTGGGAAATGTTTTCTCCCATTCGGTGGGGTTCCTTTTCTGTGGATAGAGTCCTTTGATACACAAAAGTTTCTAATTTTGATGAAGACCAATTTATCTGTTTTTTTCTTTTGTTGCCTGTACTTTAGGTTTATATCCAAGAAATCATCACCAAATCTAGTGTCATGAAGCTTTGCCCTGATGTTTTCTTCTAAGAGTTTTATGGTTTTAGCTCTGGTTTAGGTTTTTGATCCATTTTGAGTTACAGTCCCACCTTTTGTTAACTAGCTGTGGCTGCTTAGGAAAATGATCCCTTCTGCCTTCATTCAGACACTGAGGGTGGTGGGACTTCCCTTAAATGAAGGAGAAAAAATCACCTGTATCCCCTACACTACCCAGCACTGAGAGCTCCGTAACATTTTGTTCCCTCCCTCTCTACTCTCATTAGTCCTTCTGGAAAGAAATGTAAGGAAGAGGGAAAGAGAATCGTTAGATAGTTTTAGGTAGCTCGGGGGAGCATCCCCGGGGCGGGATGAGACATGGGGGTGTCTCCTGTCTTCTGCCCCATCAGCCCCTTACATCCCCTGGCTCACTTTTGCAGGTTGTGCTTCGTGAGATCCAGAATGCTGTGGCGAAAGCAGGACAGGTGGTGCAGGGGGCAGTTGGAGGGCTGCAGACGGTGCGCAGTTTTGGGGCTGAGGAGCATGAGTGCTGTCTCTATGAGGAGGCCCTGGAGCGGTGCCGGCAGCTGTGGTGGCAACGAGACCTGGAATGTGCCCTCTACTTACTCTTTCAGAGGGTGAGGAGGCTGCGTGGCTGGGGCTAGGAGCCAGGGAGGGGCAGGGAAGGCAATGGGTTCCCTGCTGCTCAGTGTGGTAGGAGTGGACTCTTAGTGCTTTCTTCTTGCCCTGCAGATGCTGCACTTGGGGATGCAGGTGCTGATGCTGAACTGTGGACTGCAGCAGATCCTGGCTGGGGACCTCACCCAAGGTGGGCTACTCTCCTTCCTGCTCTACCAGGAGGACATGGGCCATTATGTGCAGGTGAGTGAGGAGCCTGGGCATACTCTTCTCCCTCCCCCACCACAGCCCCCCCCCCGTTTTTCTCTCTGGCCTCTGGGCCTTGGCCTTTATTTGCACCCCTTAAAAATACAAAACCAAACCAAATCCCAACTCATTGTATTATGGAGAATTTCAAACATACGCAAAAAAAAAAAAAAAAAAAAGATAAACTATAATGAACCTGCATGTACCCATCACCTGCTTTAAAATTATCAACTCATGGCCATTCTGTTTCAACTGTATCCCCACCCATATGATTCTGAAGCAAATTCAAGATAGAGTTTTATCTGTAAATGCGTCAGGGCGTATCTCTAAAACATAAACATTAAAAAAATATAACCACGAAGGCCTTCTCACACCAAAAAAGTGTAACAGTAATTCCTAAAATTCATCAAATACAGGGGTTATATTTCCACTTGTCTCATCCATGTAACATATGTGTATATATTACATTTATCTCTCTCGTGTATGTCTGGTAGGATCAGCCATGAACGCCCAATGCCTAGATCCATTAAAATCACAAGGGGCTGCAAGACGGTGACACTCTACCATTCCTCCACTTATTAGCTTGAATACATCTATCCAGGGAGACTTACCCTCGTCCACTCTTTGGTAACCCACTGGTACAGTTTGAGTAGGAAAGGCGGAATAGCATTTAGTTCTTTCCCTATATTTACCAGTTTTCAAAAATAATTCATTACTTCATCTTGGTCGTTATTTTATAATTTTCCTAGATTTTTGTGAACCATGTTTTATGTATGGAGAGCTGGGCTAGGCACTCTGGTGGCTGCAAAGATGAGGTGGGCACCGTGCCTGCTTTTAAGGAGCCCCCTGTCCAGCTAGGCAAAACAGAGCTGTGCGCGAGTAATACAGAATGGGCATTGGAAGGTCTGGGGATAGAAGTAGCTCTGAACGGGAGGAGTATGGACCTCTCCATCGTTTACATTGCAAATTAAGTACGGACCTCTCCATCCTTTACATTGCTGGGGTATTGGGTTGCTTTTAAATTCCATCTAAATTGCACATTTAGGGGTAGGGAATCCTTTTTGGATGAGGGGAGGAGAAGCTTGGCCCGGCGGTGTGTGGCAGGGAGGAGCTGGGGAGCTGGTTTCTGATGAAGCTGCATTTGATTAGCTGACCCCTCCGTTCCTGTTTTCCAGGCCCTGGTTTACATGTGTGGCGATATGCTCAGCAACGTCGGGGCTGCCGAGAAGGTGTTTCAGTACCTGGACCGAAAGCCAAAGCTGCCCCCGCCCGGGACGCTGGCCCCTCCTACTCTGCGGGGGCTGGTGGAATTCCAAGACGTCTCCTTCGCGTATCCCAACCGCCCCGACCAGCCTGTGCTCAAGGTACCTGCCTGAAAGGGGCCGCGGGGCGGGAACCCGGGCCCCACGCGCTCCCCCCGGCCGCACGGCCTGTAGATCCTTTGCCTCTGAGAAGTGGATCTTCCCTCCGGCAGAACCGGACGGCGAGGGCCCGGAGGCAAGCCTCTGACTGTTTCCTGGCTTTTCTAGGGGCTGACGTTCACCCTACGCCCTGGCCAGGTGACGGCTCTGGTGGGGCCCAATGGGTCCGGGAAGAGCACAGTGGCCGCCTTGCTGCAGAATCTGTACCAGCCCACGGGGGGCAGGCTGCTGCTGGATGGGAAGCCCATCTCCCAGTATGAGCACGGCTACCTGCACCGACAGGTGGGTGGTGGCGGAGGAAGAAGAGGGACAGGAGATAGGAGGGAAGAAGCGAGTTCAGAGAGTGTGGGAGAGCCGTGGGAAGAAACACAAGGAGCCCATTCTGAGGGAGCTAGACCAGGAGGAAAAGAGGATCCCTGCCATGGGGGTTAACGCACCGTCCGCTGCTCCCATCCCCTCTCTCTGCACAGGTGAGTTCGGTGGGGCAGGAGCCTGTGCTCTTCTCTGGTTCTGTGAGGGACAACATTGCGTATGGGCTGAAGAGCTGCAGTGATGAGAAGGTGATGGCAGCTGCCCAGGTCGCCAGCGCGGCTGGCTTCATACAGGAGATGGAGCGGGGGCTGTATACAGGTACCTTCAGTCAGAAGAGGAACTGGAGCTGCTTCTTGGGGGTGCGGGTTGTGTCCGCTCTTTCCTTGCCCTTTGCTTGGCTCCCACTTCCCCGCCTTCCCCGGCACCAGGAGCTCTCTAGTTGCCCGTCCTGTTAGGGAGTCTTTGTTCCCAAGGGCCACGGGGTAGTTGTGCTCCCTCTCCGAGGGCCACCCCAGCAGGTGTCCACCCCTGCCCTCCTGACACCGGCTCTCATGCCTCCTGATGGGTGCTGGTGGAAAGACCAGCTGTGCACTTGCCCCTGCTCGTGGGGAGGATGTTGTCGTGGCCACTTGTGTCTGAGGAAAGGTATTTCTCCGTTTCCTCAGATGTAGGGGAAAAAGGGAACCAGTTGGCTGCGGGACAGAAACAGTGTCTGGCCATTGCCCGGGCCCTAGTGCGGGACCCACGAGTCCTCATCCTGGATGAAGCCACCAGTGCCCTGGACGTCCAGTATGAGCAGGCCGTGAGTACCGGTGTGGGAGGGCGGCGCAGTGCGACCTGAGCATCACGGTTGAAGGAGCAGCCTATGCAGAATTGGGCAGAAGCAAGACAAATGGAAGAGTGTCTCTGCTTTCGCAGGGGGTGGGGAGTGGAATGGAGAGTATGGGGTGTGGGAACACCCCCTCTTTGTCCACAGCTCCCTTTTCTATGTGCCTCCTGCAGTAGGACAGCTGAGAGTGAAGGGCAGTGCAGACTCTATCGTCCACTCTTTCCGACTTTCTCATCTTTCACCCCTTCTTTACCCCATGCCACAAGACATGGTGCCCAGTTGGGATATGGTGCCCATCCTGTTCTTACCTTTATTATTATTATTTTCAAAGGTTTTATTTATTTATTTGAGAAAGAGACACAGAGAGAGAGAGAGAGGACAAGTGTGGGGAGGAGCAGAAGGAGAAGCAGACTCCATGCCGAGCAGGAAGCCCGATGCGGGACTCCATCCCAGGACCCTGGGATCATGACCTGAGCCAAAGGCAGACGCTTAACAACTGAGCCATCCAGGCGCCCCTATTTTTTTTTTTTTTAGAGATTTTATTTATTTGAGAGAGAGAGCAAGTGAGAGAGCTCAAGCAGGGTGAACAGCAGAGGGAGAGGGAGAAGCAGACTCCCTGATGAGCAGGGATCCCAACTTGGGCCTTGATCCCAGGACCCTGGGATCATAACCTGAGCCTAAGGCAGGTACTTAACCAACTGAGCCACCCAAGTGCCCCTGTTCTTACCTTTCTGAGGCATTATGATCTTCTCCCTTCAGCTGCAGGACTGGAAATCCCATGGAGACCGAACGGTGCTGGTGATCGCTCACAGGCTGCAGACAGTGCAGAGTGCTGACCAGATCCTGGTGCTCAGGCAGGGAGAGCTGCTGGAGCATGCACAGCTCATGGAGGGCCAGGACCTCTACTCCCGCCTGGTGCAGCAGCTACTGGAGGACTGAGGCCCCGTCCCCGGGCCCTTCTCATGGCCATCTCTGTGACCCAGAGTAGCTCGTGCTCGGAGTTTCCCTGGGCTTGTGCCCCTGGGTAGTTGTTCATGAAGCTGGAGGCAGGGTGGAAGTTTGGACCGTGTGTGCTCCTACTGGGGCTGGGAGTGAGGGGGAGGGGGGTGCTGTCTGTTTCCAAGATCATTTCCCTGGTGCTGAGTAGTATATTGTGGCATAATACATCTATTTAAAAATATTTTCCTTATTATGTAAATAGCACATATGCATCGAGAAAAGTAAAATTAACCCTTGTTTCACTTCCCAGAGGTCACCATAGCTACTATTTTGCCAGCTACCTATCTGTGTCTTGTCTGTTCTTTGAGATAAATATTAGCCCATATGACATAAATATTCATAAGGTTGCCTTTCTGTGTCTTTCTCCATTTGCACTGATGTCTGATGTTTTGGGGGAAGTTAGGTTATGGAGGGGTAGAGCACAGTTTCCTAATTAACAGTGTTAGTAAAACATTGGTAATACCTACTATTTATAGAGTTTTAATATGAATAGGAACTATGCTAAATGTTTTTCAGGCATTATCATATTTAGTCCTTTTCCTCAACCCTATGAGGTTGGTTATTATTATTCCCATCTTACAGATGAGGAAACTGAGTCTCAAAGAGATTAAATAACTTTTCCAAGGTTATACAGTGGTGGAGTTGGAGTTGAATCCAGGCCTGACCCGGGTCCACAATCTCAACCAATAAATTATATGACATCATGTGTTCATAATCTCAAATTCATACTCAGATCCAGTAAATAGCTCTGAATCCACTGCCTTCTCTCTAGTCCCATTGTTATTATAACTTTCATTTAGTCTTAGACGATCTCATTTCCAAAGAGGTTTCCCCACCGTTGGTTCACCTTTTCCAGCCATTCTTTGTGAAGTAATTTTTCTTTCTAGCAGACACATAAGATGACATCACTTCTGTAAAATTCTTCAAGCGCTCTTCATTCCTTTCTGCTCAGATCTTCCTCACAGCATGCAAGGTTGTGCAGCTCATTTGCAGCACCGTTTCCTGTTGCATTGAACTCCTGCAGCAAACTTACATGCCTTTGTGCCTTTGCCTATGGTGTGTTCTTGCTGTTTCCTGAACCACCCTTCCCGATTTACCCCAAGTCCTTCAAGGTTTAACTCAGGGGTCAGGTCTTCCAGGAAGCCTTTCCTGATCTCAGTCAGGAGAAAGTGTCCTTTCCATGTGCTTCTATCACCCGAGCGTTTACCTATTTCACAGCTTGTAACAAACTCCTTATCCTCCCGCCTCTCTGTTCTCCCACTAGACCATGAGCTCCTGGGAGGAAGGCCATGTGTCTTACTAAGCTTTATATTGACAACCTGGTACAGGTTGTCGATTCATAGCAGACAATAAGCCAATGTCTGTTGCACAAATGAGAAAATCTTCTCTGTCCTTTCTATACGCCAACCACTGAGAATTCAGAGCTGTGTACATTACTGCCTTTTGGGAGGGAGTTACCTTTGAAGGTTCCTATTCTAGGAAAGAGAAACTTTCACATTCCCAGAAACACCAGGTACTTTCCAGCTCTAGCAATGAACTAGCAAGAACTTATGTTTTGCATTTTTTTTTTTCTGCCTGGTAACTGTTGGGAATGAGGCAGGGCGAGAGTAGGGAGCTTTTTCAGGCAGATAAGCCTTTGCTTCATTCTGCTGTTTGTGTCTCAAGAAATACCCACGGGAGAGAGAAGTCTGGCCTAATTCTTTCCCCTTTCAACCAAACATCCTTCCTTTACTTATACAATGGGAATAATCATTCCTATATCTCCCAACCTTAGGGAAACTGTTGCCCTCATGGAAGAAGATGATCTGTTAAAATTCTTTGCTATCCTCAGTATGACACCCATAGACTCCTAATAGTTTAAGCCTGGAAGGCGTCTTAAAAGTAACATAGCAGTCAAATCTTAACTTTACAGAAAGGAAAACTGGCCTGAAATCACAGGGCTACTCAGTGATTGAACTGGGAAGAAAACAGGCATCCAGATGGGCAGTTCAGAAAGATGCAGCAGACCTCAGGATCTTAGGATGTCTCGAAAGTTGGTTATCTCAGGGAAACTCCCAAGTAGGCCTTATGTCAGGGACACATCCTGGAAATGTTCCCTGGAGGTCAAAGTGTGGAACTTCAGCAAATGCCTACAAGTGTGGTCTGTCTGGTAACCACAGATATGGGTAATTCTAGTCTGTTCCCGAGTTCTAGTTCTTTTCATTCACCTCACCTCCCCTTGAACACCATTTGATCTGCCTGCTCCTTAACTTCCCCTTCTTTTCACTTACTTTCGGCATCTTTCCCATTCGGTTGTATTTTACTCTTGCCAAAGGATGGTATGAATGGAGAGGGTAAACCTAAGAAACTCTCATAGATTTCTTTGGAGCCCCTGGACCACCTCCCACCCCATCTGCTTTGCCCAGTTTGGAAATGGTGTTGAATTTCAAGTCCTTTATTCCCCAGCGGAGTAGGTAGCCCACCTGCAGTCCACATGGCAGTGTGGTTCTGCCACACTGGAAGAGGAGGAAGAGTGCAGTTGTCAGAATTTTGGAGAAAGGAGTAGGGAGTAAGGAAAACAAAGATCTTCCCGGTTTTTGGCACTGAGTGAGCCAAAAAAGCACCCATCTGATTGAGTCTGATGCCCATCTAGTGATCCTAGGAAATACTGGGTTTTGAACCTAGAGTTTTATGGACTTATGAATTGTAATAACTTTAATGACAATAATCATTCAAGTGCTATGCTAAGTGCCTGATGTATATCTTTGTACTTTTTCTTCAAGATAATCCTATGTGGCAGATATTACTATATCAATTCTAAGAATGAGAAAATGGAGGTTTAGGTACATTGCCTGGGTCACAAAGCTTGGAAAAGGTGGACTCTGCCCAGCTTTACTACAAAACTCCTCAGAAGAGTTGCCTATACTCCCTCTATCTGCTTACCCTCCTACTATTCTTTCTTAAAGATATAATTTATGTGAATAGGCAATATATTAATGTGATGTAAAATTCAAAAGCCACAAAAAGCTATGCAGAGGAAACCCTCTCTCCCATCCTTCCCATGGTTTGCCATGGGAAACAAGGTTTAATTTTACTTTTCTCGATGCATATGTGAGATTGCATACACAATCCATGCTCCAAGCTTTATGTTTATCCTTCTAGGGAAATTTCATGTATATTTAAGCAAATATGTGTATATGTTCTTGTTCCCTATTTTTACAAATAGCAGGTTCTTAGATCCACTGTTCTGAACTTTAGTTTTTATACTTAGAAATACATGACTATATAGCATTCTATTTTATGGAAGTACCGTATTTCATTTAGCTTGTCTTCTATTGATGGGTAGTTAGGTTACTGTAAGTCTTTAGCTATTATAAGCAATGCCTTGTATAGACATTATAATACACATGTGCAAGAACTCCCCTCTAAAGGGGGAGTTGCTGAGTCCAAGTGTATATACATTACTAATATTGATATATGTTGCAAAATTGCCTTCATAGAGGTTGTATTCATGCGCAGTTCCATCGGCAATATATGAATTTATCTGTTTTCCCACATTCTCATCAACATGGAATGTTGTTAAATTAGGTTTTGTCAATCTTATGGATAAAGAGTGACATCATATGGTAGTTGTCATTTGTTTTTCTTTTATTACTACTTACATAAGGATACTAGATTCAGCAAGAAAATTTGGGACACAGGAAGCAAAGATGAGAAACACACACACACACACACACACACAATAACAACAAAACATCTGTCTAAAATATTGGTAAATCAGAATAAGGAATGAAAAATGACTATAAAAGTCACTAACAGTTATGACCATTAAATTTAAGACCCTGATAGAACAATCACAACATGAGAAGGAGGCAGATAAAGTAAAACATTCTTAAGCCTTTGTCTTATTTGGAAAGAGGGTAGAGTTTAACTTCGGATGTTGCCAGTTTAGGTAGCTATGTTAAAAACGTAGGGGTAAAAATAGAGCTACCCAACCACCCAGCAATTGCGCTACTAGGTATTTACCCAAAGGATACAAACATAGTGAACTGAAGGGGCACCTGCACCCTGGTGTTTATAGCAGCAATGTCCACAGTAGCCAACCTATGGAGAAAGCCCAGATGTCTATCGACAGATGAATGGATAAAGAAGATGTGGTACACACACACACACACACACACACACAGGAATATTACTCAGCCATCAAAAAAAAAATGAATTCTTGCTATTTGCAATGACATGGATGGAACTAGAGGGTATTATGCTAAGCAGAATAAGTCAGTCAGAGAAAGACAAATACCATAGGATTTCACTCATATGTGAAATTTAAGAAACAAAACAGATGAACATAGGGGAAGGAAAGGAAAAATAAAATAAGATGAAAACAGAGGGAGGCAAATCATAAGAGACTCTTAACTATAGGAAATAAACTGAGGGTTGCTGAAGGGAAGTGGGTGGGGGGATGGGGTAATTGGGTGATGGGCATTAAGGAGGCCACTTGATGTGATGAGTGTTGGGTGTTATATGCAACTGATGAATCACTAAATTCTACCTCTGAAACTAATAATGCAGTATATGTTAATTAAATTGAATTTAAATAAAAAAATTTAAAAAGTGTAGGGGTAACTCTTAACTAATATAATTAGAATTTAAAATCCTTAAGCCAGGGGGTGCCTGAGTGGCTCAGTCATTAGGTGTCTGCCTTTGGCTTGGGTCATGATCCCAGGGTCCTGGGATCGAGCCCTGCATCAGCCTCCCTGTTCGGCGGGAAGTCTGCTTCTCCCTCTCCCACTCCCCCAGCTTGTGTTCCTTCTCTTGCTGTGTCTCTCTCTCTCAAATAAATAAATAAAATCTTAAATCCTTAAGCCAGTAAGAGGAAATTAGAGAATACTTTAAAAATGTAATCAATTTAATATAAGTGATGAAAGGAGAAAAAAAGCAAAGAAAGAACATAACGAAATAGAAAACACAACAATAGTAGAAACAAATCTAGATAGTTTAGTAATCCTAATAAATGTAAATAGCTTAAATTTGAAGTTAAAAGAAAGGGGTTTTCAGATTGGATTAATAATATAGCTCTCCTAACCTTCTCTGTGGGGGATATGTTCCAAGACCCCCCAGTGGATGCCTGAAACCACAGATAGTAACTGAACTCCATGTATACTTTGCTTTTCTCTATATGTACATACCTATAATAAGATTTAGTTTGTAATTTAGGCACAGTAAGAGATTAACAACAGTAACTAATAATAAAATAGAACAAATGTAACAATATACTGTAATAAAAGTTATGTATTCCTTCTCTCTCTCAAAATACCTTATTGTACTGTGCTCACCCTTCTTATGATGATGTGAGATGATAAAATGACTATGTGATGAGATTAAGTGAGGCAAGTGATGTAGGCATTGTGACCTAGCATTAGACTACCATTGACCTTCTGACCTTCTGTTGTCAGAAGGAGGATCCTTGACTTGTGGGTGATAGT